TGAAAGTGTTAATAGATCTGGCTTTGTGTTCACTGCAAGCTCATTAAACCGTGGCAGTGGTAGGAGGTGGCCTTCCCCTTGGAAGGAAGAGTAGCCCACAGAAGATGCAATCCTAGGGAGGACATTTAAGGCCATTAAACCACTTGAGAGGGCTCTTGTAGTTATCGCGAGCTCTTGTTTTCATGCAGTTCCACTTGGCTGTGAGCCCTATCACATGGAGTGAGCTAAAGTCAATTTTCTGTAAGTTATCTCATCTCCAGGCGAAGGCTCTTGCTTTGCTTTTCAAGCAATTAGATTCAAGAGCCTCCCCATGCCCAAAGAGGTGGTTGTTATCAGCTCTCATCAAGATACTGTTTTATCAGGCAAAGAACACCTTTCTGACACTTCTTACACAGCCTTACACTTCTCACCACAAGCTGCTTTCTCCAGCCATCACGTTAGTCCAACAGATCTCTGCACCTCTCCCAGTTTACTCACCATCCTTTCAGAACGGGGCCACGAGATCTGGACACAGGATTCCTGGCCTCAAGATGTAACACCGGGCATGGCAGATCACTGGATTCACTTTATCCCCACATGAGACTTACACTGAAAAGAGTATGTTCACTTCAAAATCCGGAGAAGCAAAGATATAAGGTAGAATAACAAAATGCACCTGTTAGGGCTATACAAAAAAAGAAGCATCTTCATCATTCACCTCAGTACCTCACCCATTCTCACGGCTCCTTCTCTCAACCTGACAACTTCCCCTGCTACGTGAAGATGAGATTTCTTTCTTTTAAGGGGATTCTGCTCTCTCCAAGTCTTCCCCCACAAGCAAAAAACAAAGACGCCTCTTATGTGCCAGCCCAAGCCGCAGTCTCTCTCACCTTCTGCTTATGGAAGCTTCCTTGTTTCTTTTGCCTGTGTTCTTAGACTTAGTATTACAAGACACTCGAAAACTACAGTTTTTTTTCCTAGATCCATAGCTATCTTTCCCTGTGAAACTCGCACCAGTCGCAAACATGGCGCCACACGCGCTGAAACCAGCAACAGTGTGCTTGACTGAGTGAAAGACTATTCTCCAGCTAAGTAGGTTACTGATATCAAGGTCATCTCTTTTGCCCCTTTTTGTTGCTGGCACAGCATCCTCCATTTCCCTGCAGTCCAAGTTCATCATAGTTCAATAAAAAGTTCCCCTGCCAGTTCTCTTTAAGAGTTCTCAGGTGCTGATCCTCTCTGCCTGCTGATTTAAAGATGCTTGCCCTGATTAGACATTCAAATTCTCCTTAGCTAACATACAGTCAGATTATAGTTCAGGCTCTCCACCAGACAGGCTTATCGCCGGTTTCACCTTCCAGGTATTTCTGAACTCTTGTATGTCTGTAAATGGAAGCTAGGATGGGCCTAGCATATTTACTGAAGAAGTTGTTCCTCCGGCTCTGCTGGTCGTATTTTAACATTATAAGTTAACTGGGCCATGCCACCACTTGGACTGAAAAGAAAGCCTTGGGGCTTTCTGCTGGGAGTTTTTGACTCGCAAAAGCTAGGGATAGCTCAAGATAAACTTTAAAGACTAGATGCCATAGGAAGCAAAGATGCCTGAAGTACCCTTACAGTTAATTCTTACACAGCACAGTTACATCCAGCCCTGCAATTCACAGTGCCAAGAGAGTCAGCTTCAGATGGGATCCAAAATAATCACCTCCTCAGCACAGTTTTTGTTACCTTTTACAAGAGCAATTGTTGCAAACTGCATTGTTTCCATTCCTTTCAAAAGCAGGACTAGTCTTCTTCAGTGAGAACAGCTAAGAAGTTTCATCTCTTATTCAAAATTGAGATGCTGGAGGACAGCCAAGTCACTGGGTGGGATAGTACAGAGACACCTCTCTCCTGTGAATGGGGCCTCACATTCCTTCTCACTCTACCTTCTATGCATGATAGACTAGTTCACTACAAGAAAGCCCTACATCCAACGCAACAGATGCTCATCACAAAGACGACTACACGTTACAATAATGATTAATTAAATTTTAATGTTTACAGTAGTCACTTAAGAGGGTTGCCAACAATTTTTTGTGTGTGTGTGTTTTTTTTTTTTTTAAAGAATTCTGATGTGGGAGTTATTTTATTGGGAAAGCTGGGAGAAGATAAACTTGGAAACAACTGTTCCAAAATACAACTATAAAGAAGGAAAACAAAGTTGAGATCATATTGTGCTTTAAAGGAAGGTTACGTAGTTTAACTTGCATAGCACAAGCATACATAAGTATTTGAGTTAAGAGCAATAGATAGTCCCATCTCAATTCAGGTTATTGCTTTCTTTTTTAAATCTGAGCAACTGGTTGCTGGTTTCTGCTGGAACCAAAGGAGGCTTACTCGCAGCTGCTGTTCAGTAGTCTGATTTGGTTTAGCCAAGGAACAACGTACACTACAAAGTTGCAAGTGACATGCTAAGGAGAGAAAGGAAAAAAAAAAGCAATTATCAGATTAAGAGCATAAAACAAAGAATCACTGACCATTTTTCCCACACACATATTTGCTACATTTTCAGTGATCCAGAATATATGCCACTCTTGTGGCTCTCTAGATTATTTGCACTTTCATGCCAAGCATTCTGGAATACCACTCTTGTGAATATGCACTCAGTACTATTTCTCTCAAATATTAATAGCCACTTCTCTCAAACATTAACAGAAAAGCTGAGCAATCAGCACTTCTGAAGATCAGGTTACTTCCTCCACTCGCTCTTAAGTTCCCACTGCTGGAAAGCTTTCAGCCTGGGTAATAGACTCTGGCATAAGCTCTCAAGCATGGGTAAGCACATCTGTGCAGCTAACTCAGTTGTGCATATGTCTGTCACATCATTCCAGGACTCCAGCTGTAGTAGCGGTACACAAGAAGTTTCTAGCGAGGTGCTTCATGGATCACTTGTGTGCAGTTACAGTACTCACGCATGCAGGTACAAAGGGAATGTATGCATTAGTTAAGATAGTTAATCCTATCATGGTGATTAATACCAGTAATAAAATCCTATGAAATCAGACTCCGATCAGATCAAGGCAGACGCACATTTGGTGCTTTCGTCTGAGAAGCTAAAGCAGTCCTTAAAGAGTTTCTGTAATTAGACAGAATTTGTGCCTAACTCAGCTTGGTGGGTACAGAGAACCAGGGTAGTCTGCCATTCACTTGTCAGCACTTAGCCAAAGCGCTAGCAGCAGTAACGGGAGTCCCTAGGAAAAAGGAGTTGAGTCAAGCTTGTTTACATGACTATGAGACAACAGGAGCAGGGAAGGATACAGGGATTCAGGGCACCAGGCCGGGAGACCTGAAACCAACCCCGGTTAGCAAAGTTTCCTCAGTTAAGTGTAACGTTTCTGATCTCAGCTGGGGCAGACAAGCAACACTGCCCCTAACTCTCTGTACTAGATCAGCTGGAGGGAAGGGGCTGAAAACCTGGGGACCAGCATGCTCTGTTTTGGAGCCTACCTTAGCCATCTCTGGTGCATCATGAAAAGCACAGCTCTGGAGATCAGCTACTGACTTTGTGCACTTTGTCCGGCCAATCTCAACTTCCATGTTATACTTGATTCCAGACACAATCTGCAAGGAGACAACAGGCAGAAGCAGGTTTATTTACAGCACATACAGGAGACCTCTCCGCAGAGAGGAAACCTAACAGAAAGGAAAGCTGTTTTGCAATTACATTATTGAAACCAAACTCAGCAAGCACAGACATGATAGTGTGTGGCAACCTTGACAAAAAAGGCACTTTACATCTGTTGAAGACCAGAAGACAAAGCGCAAGTAAGCAAATGCAACACACTATAGCTTCCTTAACCAATAAACAAAGTCACATGTCTATTCGTAAGCAGTGCTGTCAAATAGCATACTAACATCTTCAGTAACCTAAACCATAGCACTCAAAGGCATCCATGTTAATGAGACTTGAGCTATGACTCACACTTTTATTGGCCTCCTGTGGAAAAAGAGTTTGAAACCCAATCCCTCGAGTTTGAAACCTGCTCTTTTTCAAAGATGGGCAGTGGAGATTCCCATGGAGTCACATCAGTCCACAAACTGAAGCTTTAACTCTAAAGATCCCGGCAGTCAATAACATTTCGCAAGTCCCCAAAACCGGTCGCGGGGTAGGTAGGTACCTGAAGACACAGGTATCTGTTTCTTCCTGAGCGCTTTACGACCAAGCTACCTGCACCTCCCCTCAGCGGTCTGCACCGCCCTCAACCACCCCTGCCAACCCTCGAAGCACCTGCCCCGAAACCCAGGGATACTCTTGTCACTGGAGAGGATGATTACAAATTTCACCGTCCCGATTTGCTGGGTGGTTGTTTGTTGTTGTTGTTTTTTTTTATAAAGCCTAGGTCAGATTTTAGCGTTGGCACCGGGGGACGGAGGGGTCGTGGTGCGTGGGAGTCGCGAACTGTCTGTAGCCGCAATGAAGGAAACCTTTCTCCCCTCTTCCCCCACTTTTCCGAAATAAGAAGGGGGCGGGGGGAACAGAACAAAACAAAACGCCCTTCCTTCG